TTATTTCTCATTACCCTACTCTGATTTGGCTGGTAATAAATTCAATTGATTTCCCCAAGTCAAGTCTGTTTTGCCCATGATGGTAATTGGTGAGTGATCTCTCCCTGTCCTTATCTTGACCCACGAGCTTTTCATTATATTTTCTCCCCCTGTCCAGTTGAGAAGGGGAATGATAGAGCGGCTTTGGTGAGCACCTGGCATCCAGCCAGGGTCAACCCACCACAGTAGCTTTCAGATTTGGCCATATAAATACTGTTTATAAGGTATCGGTTTACCATTTGAATGCAGTGTTTTTCATGATAAATACAACTGTAAAAAGATAGATACCAACAGCTTGACTTGAATTGGCAGATGTGAGATTTAAAGCCTAAAGTTACAGTAAATAGCCAAATCTGGGAAACAGTCTCAGTGAATTTTGGAATCACAGAATTACAGAATTATTTAGACTTGAAGGGGTGTCTGGAGGTTTTCTAGTCCAGCCTCCTAATCAAAACAGGGCTAGTTACAGTTAGCCTAAGTTTCATAGATTTTTCCAGGTTTTGGTACATTGAAAATGTTGATAAGAGTACTCTGATATTAAAAGGAAAGTATTGCTTTTTGTATCTGTGGGACAATAGTGAAGGAGGAGGTGAAAAAAGGATTTTTAGATATGTTATCTACATAGAGACAAAGTACAAAGTCTGCAAGGGTACATTGGATTTTTGCAACGTATTCAGTTGAGCTGTTACAGGAGGTGGAACAGAAAGCATTTTGTGATGCACATGACATGCTGCATTAGTGTTAACTACCCTTGAGAAGCTTCTCTGAGAAACTTATGAATAAATCTTTCAAATTCATAGCTATTAAAAGAAATGACAAAAAGCAACATTATTCTACAAATTTGTTCCATTCTTTGAATGAACCCTCAATATTTAACAAAAGACTTTGACCTTGTGATTTATCATTCTGATGGCTTAAAAATATAGTGTAAAACAATTTATTTCCACAAAACCGGTTGTTGCAAGACTGCTGTAAAATCTGCATCAAATTGTTATTCTCAAATTAATCCAAGCATCCAATATGCTGCCACTTATAAAATTGCCCAACTACTTTAATAAGATTCAGCACATGATTGGAGCCTATCCTCAGAGCAAGAGAAAAACACAGAAACTGAAAGCACAAAGAAAACCTAGGAAAATAAATTGCTTATGGAATAAAAGGTTGCTTACAGCTACAAAGTACACTTCTTGATTGTGCTATGAATAGAGTTTTGCAGTTGGCTTAGTTTCTTTTCCCATTTTCCAGTCCAATACTGTTCAGTTTCACAAATGAACATGTTGACTTATGAGGAGAAATATATAAGACAAATGCACTGATTTTGATTATAACAGTATTAAATCACCACTGATTAATCTGGAACAATCATGAGGAAAAAAAAGAGAAGCTCCTCTTGCGCTGGAAGGAATAAGAAGTGACAAGGATTACTTTTCCCAGATTTTTCAATAGGCTTAAAATCTAACACTGCAGTTGAGAAAACTACTTTTAGTGTGACAAACTATCATTGATTAACACTGTTTGTAATTACTCAATAGAGTGTCTGTGCATGTCCAGGAGTTTTCTTAATGTTCAGTCTTGCTCCCTCTGTTATCTAGTCACAATGTTCTAAGCAGTTTCATGTTTTTACTAATTATATCCATAAATTTCAGTCCCTCAAAGACTTAGAGAATTTTGAATGAAATTTTTGCTTAATTAAATGGTAGACATTGCTGAAAATATTTCATTGTGTTGTAGGATTTGCTAGTGAAGTATAATCTCAAGCCATGTAAAGAGCTCATTGGAATTCCAAAATCAGTTAAAGTATGGTCCCCTGGAGGACTGATACATACTAGGGCATAAAATAATCAGTCTAATGATTTTATATGTGATATCTAGCCTGTTTAAAAAAAGAAATCTCTGGTAAAATGTTATTAGTGTTATAGAAGTGGGGTAGAATAATAGATTACTATCCTGAGATGAAATAATAAATTCCTGTCAGATTTGCTACCTAATTTTTCATTTAATTCTTCACTGTGTAGGATTATAAGCTCATTTAAAAAAAAAAAAAAAAGATTTAATATCCCTTGGTTGTGGACAGCAATTAAGTCTCAAAAGATGTTAAAAACTGATCTGTTGACCTGACAGAAGTTGTTTTGATTGAGTTCCTTATTTGTAATAGTAAAGATGACTGGTGGATGTTACATGTTAAATGAAGAAGTTTACTACCAGGGCAGTAAACAAATGTATGCCAGCTAAAAGTTGCTAGTATTGTTAGGAAGAAGGAAATAATGTCATAGCACTCTGTAGGTTTTAGTTTTAAAGGGTATTTGAAGATCTTTAATATAGAGATTTTTGCATAAAATTAGTTCAGAAGAATTGCTCTTCTATGCTATGGGTTCCCTTATATAGAAAACTAGCACTTGAACTAAGATTAATAAATGATTTTATGACTGGATATACTTGGGACTGTGTCTTGCATTATAGACTGTGATCCCTAAACATTTGTGATGCTTAGGGATGCCTCAAAAAATTCTCACATGTCTAGAAAGAAAAGGTAGAAACTTTAGGGACAAAGCAAGGTTACTTTCAAGTGAATCATTCATTTTACAGGAAATATCTCCTTCCAATAACTTATCATTTTCAGTAGAAAAAGTTTCTTATTTCAAGACTTCAGGTGAGAGGTTTAATTTCTAAGAAACAGAATTTTTAAATTCCCAAATTCTCCCTTCATTAGTCTTTGATTTAAAATGCCAGACCCGTATTTATATTTTTCTTTATTCTGATTGATAGATATCACTTATCATGTAGTTGGGGAAATCATCTCTTCTTGTTATTTCATCTGCATAAAACAGCACAGGTTTCACTGTTTCCCTGTTGAAAGGGTTTCCCTTGTATTAGTGTTGTGGTTTGATTTCTAGTTGAAAGGGTTTCCCTTGTATTAGTGTTGTGGTTTGATTTCTAATAGAACCTGACTCTGGAAGTTTTTTGGTGTGTTCCCTTCAAAGGGGATGGGACAGTTTCTCCCTGTGTTCTGGTACACATGTCGCTCACCAAGGGCAGCAGAGAGACTGTGGAAAAGGTGCTGGTGTGGGGAGCGGAGCCCCCAGCTCAGCCCCTGAGCATCAGAGCGTGGAAACTGATGCAAAGTGATGCAAAGTGGAACTGCCTCACGTGTGAGTGCCGGTAAGGATATTCTGACAACAAGTGTCCGCTGATGCAAAGTGATGCAAAGTGGAACTGCCTCACGTGTGAGTGCCGGTAAGGATATTCTGACAAGTGTCTGCTGTGGCTGGGAAA